GGATCAAGACGACGTTGTCCGAGGACCAGGTCGCGAGATACATGAAGGATGGCGCACATGTCATTATGACGGGTGCGCGATCCCCCATAGGCGCAGAGAAAGATCAGTTGCGGAGATTGGCCAATACGTCCAAGAAGAGGTATCAGAAGTGGGTCGAAGCCGGTAGCCCGCCTGCACACGAATGCAGATTAATGGGCGAATCCGAGGACGACCGACCTCTGTACTACCCATACGCCAATCTCATTCAACGCTTTCTCAACGACCTCAGATTCCATCATCAGATGACAGGAGCCCGCGTGAATGTCGGCAAGAAGCCCTGGAGAGTCGAGGACATGCGCGACGCGTGGGACATCCTTGACGTCAGTATTAGGACAGGACAGGCTGGTCGGAGAAAGTGGTGGCTGAACGAGGGACGCATTGACAGGCAGACGCGGCAGGCGCGCGGACTGATTACGGTTTCTCTCCCTCGAGGGGACGGAACCCGTGAACAGTTCACCCAGCGCAAGCTTGCCGCGATTGCCAACGAGCTGATAGGCTCCCTCGATCCGTCACACACTGACCAGAGGGGGGGTAGTACAGGGATGAGAACCGATCCAGATACACACTCCCAACAGTCCGATGACGCCATGGAGCCGCGGCCGCCGCCGCGGCCGCCGCCGCGCCCTGCTCCTGGCGACGCCGCTGCATCCAGCGCCTCAGGCGCAGAGGACTACATGCCCGCGATGCCGCGCGCCAAGAGAGCACGTACATCTGATTACGCTGCTTACTGGCGCCACAATCTCGAGGACAGCGATTGGGGTCTTCGATACTGGAGTTATTACATCAAATGTTGGATCTACATTGCGATCAACAACGACGAGTATGTGTACATCCAGGATATCACGTACAACGATTGGTTCCGCAACTGGATCCCGAGGACCACTTGGGAAACGTTTACGACAAGCTATGCGACGTACAACGGCCAGAGGGTGTGGGACCGCAGGTTCTACAAGGACGGCGACGCGTAGTGAGTCGGCCGCAAGGCCCACTGCTCAAGTGCAGAACTTCCGTTCATCAAAGTTCGCCTTGAGCGGTGGCTAATACATTCTTTTAGGCCACTTCAATCTTTCACACAAGTGGCCATACACACATATAGATATCTTTTGCGATCACCGAGGCAGCCTCCTAAGGAGCAACGCCAACGGGAGTCGCCAAACAGATTTTATACATCATTTTCGTGTTCATCAACACGACATTTTCTCCTGGCCAGGTACTTGCTTTAACGCAGATTTGCATTTCTTTCAGGATCGTGTTCGTCAACACGATCTGGGCATACATTTGCTTTTAGGCAGACTAGTGTTTGATTTCAAGATTGTGTTCATCAACACGATCTTAGCATGCATATTTTAACAATTTAACAATATTGCGTCGAGAATAATCTGATGGCTGGTGGCAACACCTGCCTCGCAAATCTTGCGAGGCGGTTTACGTTGCCTTGATGCTCAGATCTTCTTTCTCCGCCTACCTTTGTCTCATTCTTCTCCTCCCTCGAGTGCCGAAGCGTTTTGGGGAGCGCACCGAGGGGGCGGCAAAGACCGCCTGGAGAAGAAAAAGAGACCCAAGGTATCTCTTCTTACCTCACTTTGCAGCTGTGGCTTCGCTGACTTTTAGCCCAGCTGCCTTTTCAGACTTAAGGTAAAGGAGTTCTGAGGTTTCGGATTCCATCCTCCTGATCCCGAGTCCTGCCTTCACGGGCGGGATTCGGGACGGGGGGTGTGTATGGAACCCGTGTCATACCCTCATATATACTCCTTATCCTTACCTCTCCCGCACCTGGCCGTTTGGGCTCAGGTACTGAGTTGGAGCGATCGTACCTTGATCGCTTGGGAGGGAAAGATATCCATCTATCCCTCCATCTCTCTACCAACGGATCAGGGGTTCTGTACTCTTGTACTTCAACCCCATACGCAGCTTTTATTAGCAGTCGCGGGCCTTCTCCACAGATAGAAGGCCGGCGCCTTCTAAGGAGCAGGCTCCTTCTAAGAAGCCTTCCCCCCTCCCCCAACCCCCTTGTGTGCACCGCCAACATAAGCCCACCAACTAATGTTCCGATAGTTCTCTGAGAGCTAAGAGGGTTTCAGATCAGAAGCCAGCGCTGCAGTGTCCAGCTTCCGGCAGGACACCTCGCCGCGACTCCCGCGAATTTGCAGCTCGTCCCGGAAGGCTTTCTTTTGACCGAATTGTGTTCCAATGCGTGTGCCGTCAAATTTTCCATAGGCTTATGAGTTTCCATGGCTCACTCGAACGACCTTCCAGAAGCTTCTGTCGCCTGCTATCCAGGTGGATGCCACAAGTTCTAAGAAGGGATGTGGCCTGTACGGAACATTATTTTGATATTTCTTGTTGGGGCCTTGTCTGAATGCGCAGGGTCAATGCTCCTGTAGCCTTGTTCGGTGTTCAGGACGTGCTCGGGTCATGTGAAAACTCCGCGGAAGGCCTGGAGTCTGGCCGGGACGGCAGGTCCCTGCTCACCACAGTGGGTGCGGTGAATGCCGTGGTGTGGCTTGCGACCTGCGACGCTGCGACTTCGGAGGGGGAGGAGGAGGAGGAGGAGGGGGAGGAGGAGGAGGAGGAGGAGGAGGAGGAGGAGGAGGAGGAGGAGGAGGAGGAGGAGGAGGAGGAGGAGGAGGAGGAGGAGGAGGAGGAGGAGGAGGAGGAGGAGGAGGAGGAGGAGGAGGAGGAGGGGGAGGGGGAGGGGAGGGGGAGGGGAGGAGGAGGAGGAGGAGGAGGAGGAGGAGGAGGAGGAGGAGGATGGGGCGCCGCTGCTGCGCGTTCTCGCGGGCTCTCTCGGGCCGCCGGGCCCTCGCGGATCGAGCCGGCCCGGGAGGTGCAGCAGACCCCATCGGGTCCAGGCCACGCGTCCTTGAAGGGGCCCACGAACACACACACACATAAATACACACAAATAAAAGGATCCCCCATATTGTCCCATATTTTCGGGGCTTCTGTCTTCTCTCCACTTCCCATATTTTCGCATATTTTCCGGGGAATCGACGAATAATTGTGTCTGTGTTTTTTTTTTTCCCTCCTGAGTCCTGACTCTTCACGGTGCCGCATTGTTTTGTTTGTGGCATCGTCGGCCCTCGGGCTTCGAGGGCACGTCGCGGGGCGCCAGAGGCTGTGGGAGCACGAGAGCTCGTCGGGGCTCGGCGGACAACTCCGTCGAGGTCCTCGCCCCCCGCGGGCACGGCAGGCCGCACCCTTCGGGGGGGCCGCCGCCAGGTGCTCTTCGCGAGGGGGGACTTCTCGGGCTCCGCCGCGCTGCTCTCGGGCGCGGTCGACGAGAGCGGGCGGCGCCTGCGAGAGGCAGCCCAGTGTCGATAATGGTGTCGATCCCCCTGACCTTCCACGAAGGCTAGAACATGGCACCAGGACTTCGACGTCCTAGTTCCTGTCGCGGTTTGAGGCAGTCTAGATAGGCTTATAGGTCTGGAGTGTTTTTTTAATACCACTCTGAAAGGTCAGGGCCGATGCCGATGTCCAGTGCCGAGATCCGTTGGCGATCCGATGGCGATGTCGGAGCGATCCGATCGGTCCGCGACTTGATGCCGGTTTTTGCAGGCCCAGTCCGGTCCGATTCCGGTTCACGTTCCGGCGATGCGATGCGGCCCGCTGCAGCTCGCACGGCGTGGCTGCGCATCCGGGCGCAGCCGGTTCGGTTCGGTCTCGATGGCAAGCCGATGCGGCCCGATTCCTTCGGTCTCGCAAGACACGGAGGAACCTTGTACGCCTCCATGGTTCCGTGTTTAGCGTGAATGAGCGTGCGTTAGCGTCTGGTAATCGATGAGAACGCGCCGGTCAACGTGGATGAGTATCGACTTAGCATCGGCATGCGTCTATCGTCGTCCGTCGTTTTTCGTCCGTCGGTGTCGTCGTCCGTCGTCGTCGTCGCCCTCGGTGATGACCCCGAGAGGCGCCGCAGTGGTGGGGCGCGCTGCAGCTGCGCCTCGCGCTGCTGTGGCGCGGCGGCGCCGCCGACGGGGCGCGGGCCGCGCTCCTCTCCCGCCACCTGTGCGAAGAGCGGAGGAGGGCCGGCCAGCCCGGCGGGGGCCATGCCTCAAGGGAGGAAAACCCTGAGAGTCGAAGAAGAAGACGAAGAAGACGACGAAGAAGACGAAGAAGAAGAAGAAGAAGAGAAACTTCAGAAACAACTTGGATGTCGTGGATTCGTGGATTTTCGGGCAAGCGTCTCGGAGGCATGGTTCGGGACTTCCTGGGCAAACACCTCGGATGCCGGATGCTCCGTGCGGAGATCGTGGACCTGCGCGCCCCGGGCTCGCTCCGCCTGCGGCACTTCGAGCGTTTGTGTGTCTGTGCCGCCTCCTCGCCCTGCAGAGAGCCTGGCGTCGCGGCTGCATGGGCCGGACAGCGCCGCAACCGCGCATCAACAGATCGCACCGCTGGGCCCCACTGCAGCCACGCGCCCAGGGGCAGTGAATGCCCGCTCGGCCCTCCCGCTCTGAGTTAGGCGTCGTGCCCTCGCCTCAAGGCCGGCTGCATCTTCGGTGAGGACGGCCACGATCCCCTGCAGCAGAGCTGCCGAGGTGCGCATGGCCGTGCTCTCACCCCTGTCCCTCAAAGCCCTCCTCCCCTCTGCTGCTGTCAGGGCGCCTCGTGCGGGCAAGGTCAGTACCCATACAGGCCTCGGAACAAATTAGCGAACACTCATGCCACATTCATCCGTCAACGCCTCTCCCTCTCCCCAATGTTCAAAGTTGGCGGTGGGTCTGATGAGATGCACTTCGACCGCAGTCTCCCCCGCGCGTGCCAACATTGAGTTTGGTGGGGAGGGGGAGTGTTCAGTAATTGTTTCCCTCTGCCGTACCACTGCGCCTTGGAGTTCCGGGCGGCTCCCTTCCCCCGAAGCGCCACCGAGGCGCCGTGGATATGGACAAGGGCCTGGCCTCTGGAGGCCAGATGCTCATCCTGGTCCACTCCGCGTCGGCCTCCCAGGGAGCCTTCTAGACGCAGGGGACGCGGACATGAAAAAAAGCCCTGCCCGCCAGGGCGGGCCGCGGCGGCCTCGGCCGGCCTGCCTCCGACGAAGAGCTGGAGCGCAGGGCGGCGCCGCTCGCAGGCCCCGCGCCCGCAGCCGACGCCGCGCCCGGGCACTGCGCGGGCGTCGCCGACGGCGCGCTGGCCCCCCCGCCGCCGGGGGCCGTGGAGGCCCTCCTGCGCGACGGCCATGCTCGAAGAGGAAAGCACTGCACAGCCAGAAGCCTTCGGAGCTCCGCGCGGGGGTCTCGGATCTGCGCTGGAGCACCCTGGCAGGGCTCGTTTCGACACCTCCGATTCGATTCGATTCGATTTCGATGGCTTCCGATTCCGATTCGATTCGACTTGGGATTCCGATTTGGGTTCCGATTTCTTAGTGAAGGCCTACTAGCCTGCCGATTTCCGCCGATTCGACTTTTTCCGACTCGGCTGCCGATTTCCGCCGATCCGATTCATGTCGATCGCCGATCCGACTTATCGATTCGATTCTGCGCTCTCTTGCCCTGGCGGCGCATCTGGCACTGCCCCCGGGCGCGCTCCTCGCGCCGGGGCGAAGGTGGTCCAGCGCGGATCCAAGAGATCCGCGCAGACCTTGCAGAGTTGATGCTGATGCAGTGGTTTCGTCGTCGAGGAGCCCGAGGCGGGAAAGGCGGCACGGGCATCAGTTCTCGGCGGTCCGCGCGGCTCTCCCGGACAGGCGATGGAACCCGTCTGGGCGGCGCGCCCTTGGGGGAATCGCCAGCGGCGAGCGTATCCGTATCCACGCCCTCGTGGTCTGGATTCTAAAGCGCGGTCCTGCGGACACGCGGTCGCCCGCGTGAATTCTGCGAAGGGGCATCAGCGAAAAACGATCCCTATCCGCGGGGTCGCGCCCTAGGGGCCCGGCCCGCTAGGCCGCGGTTACGGATACGTTTTCCGCCCACGAGGGGAATCATTGAGTTCCTGGCGCTGCAAGTTTTTCCCTACCGGCGATTCTGATCACGATTTCTCTCGGGCCCTGGGTCCATCACGGATCGATCGGGTTTCGAAAAGCGCCGCAGATGGGTGGGGTCTAGGATTCCGGTTGTGATTTTTCTCGATGTTGGGATGTTCTCGAGCGTGGGGTCCGCCCGGCTTTCCCAGATGGGCGACGGACCGCCTCGTTGGGGGAAGGCATGGGGGGGCCTGCCTCTCCAAGAAGGTGCATAGGGCGTCCTTCCTTCTGAGGGTGCCGTTGAAGCCTTATCTACGACAAATTCGCAACTTGCACTGTAGCTCTGCGGAACGTTCCACGCATGCTTCTGCTGAATCGACGAGCGAGTCAGTTTTGGGGCAAGTCGATTCTGCAGTCGATCCCCTCCTCCATTCTCCGAAGACACCAGATGGCTTCTCGGACGGCCCTGGGCAGGGCTCATTTCGATTCCTCCGATTCGATTCGATTCGATTTCGGTGGCCTCCGACTCCGATTCGATTCGATTTCAGATTCCGATTTGGACGCCGATTCCTCAATGGAGGCCTACTAACCTGCCGATTCCCGCCGATTCGACTTTTCCCGACTCGGCTGCCGATTTCCGCCGATCCGATTCATTTCGATCGCCGATCCGACTTGTCGATTCGATTCTGGGGGCGTCTGCCTGGGGCTCCCGAGGCAGCCCCTCCGCCTCCCGAGACAGCCCGAACCCCCCGCTCGGCACGCCGCCGCCGCCGCCTGGCGGGGCGAACCTGGCGCCGCAGGCGGGGGGGCGGGGTCGGCGCAGACGGGCTCGGAGGATCGCGGCGCACTGCCGATGCGTCGCCGAAGCGGCTCGATGTGGAGCCCAGTTGGCTTCACGCCGATGCATCGCCGATGCATCGCCGAGGCATCGCCGATGCATCGACGGCGTGTCGCCAGTGCGTCCCCGATGCACTGCCGCTGCACCAGCGTAATACGGGTCGATCCGCGGACCCCCTCTGCTCCGACCCCCTCCCTCCTCCCTCCTCCCTCCTCCCTCCTCCCTCCCTCCTCCTCCCTCCTCCTCCCTCCTCCTCCCTCCTCCCTCCTCCTCCTCCCTCCTCCTCCCTCCTCCCTCCTCCCTCCTCCCTCCGAGCGTCTTGACGTCGTTCGGACGTGTGCACTCTTTCTCGGCGAGGTCCTTCGAGGAGCCTCATCGACCATCGGGCCAACAAAAACGCGCACGAGACATTAAAGTGCGCAAGTGTTGGACGTCCGAGCAACAGCGAGGCGCCAGTCTCACGAATCTTGCCCACCCTCCTGTCCCGCGGAACGGAGCCGCATGTGAGCCGAACAAGAAAACGTTCACGAGAGTTCATGTCCGCGGTGCCTTTTCCCCTCTGGTCATGCCAAGTGGGGGGCGCCGCTGCCCCCCGAAAGCGTGCAGCTGCTGCAGCGGCACACCTTCGTTGGATGGTCGTTTCGGGAACCTTCCTGAGGGCTACCTGACGGATCTGTTACACTCAAGCTCGATTCAAGCTCGTCTCAAGTTCGATTCAAGTCCGATTCACGTCGATCGTCGTTCGACGCAGCATCGTCTCAGGAGTGGTTCGAGGAAAGTCTCCAGACTGAGCATCTGACCCTCGCGCTGCTCGCGGGGGAGGGCGGCCTGGACACTGGCGGCGGCGGCGGCTCCGGCGCAGGCGGCTACGACGCGCGCCAGCGCCGCCGGGGCCTGCACAACGAGCCCATAGCGGGCCTGTTCCATTACAGGCTTCGCGGACGAAGAAAAAGGCAGCGTCAATGTCAGTGACAAGTCATGGGGCCCCTGCGTGCAATCGGAATTCGGTGTTTTCTTGGAGTGCACTCGCGTGCGCCAGCGTCTGGCAGCTGATGATTAGAGAGAGCCAGCTTGGCGTCGAACTGGCGCCGATTCGCAAGAGCCAGCAAGATGGCATGGGAGTCCCCCATGAGTTGCCACCGAAGCATCAGTCAAAGTGCGGAGGCCCGCGCGGATTTCTCGTATCCGCGCTGGGCCCCCCCTCCCTGGGCGCGCGGAGCCCGCTCGGAGCTCCTCCTCCTCCTCCTCCTCCTCCTCCTCCTCCTCCTCCTCCTCCTCCTCCTCCTCCTCGTTTTCCTCCCCCTCCTCCTCCTCCTCCTCCTCCTCCTCCTTCTCCTCCTCCTGCTCCTCCTCCTCCTCCTTTTTCTTTGTCTAAGGCTGTCGGAGGTGCTGCGGGGCGTGCTCGGGGCGCGGCTGGTGCCCACCTACGTGTTCTCTCGGCGGCTCGCAGGCGGGGCCCCGAGGGGGGCAGGGCCCCGAGGGGGGCGGGGCCCCGAGGACGGGAGCCTCGAGCAGTGCAGCTCGAGCTCGTGAATCCGCCTCCTTGGCATCGCTCGGACGTGTGCATTTTTTTCCCGGCGAGGACCATCGAGGAGCATCCTTGATCATCTGGCGAAAAAGCGATGGACGTCCAAGCGATGGCGAGCGTCCTGCCCCGAGGGCCCCCAGCCCCCAGGGCCCCCTCTTGGAGAGCCGCCGGTGCTCGGTGGTCTACCTGGGCGGCGGGCGGCTGCACCCGCACCTGGACCGCCCGGAGAACGAGGTGTCCCTGACGCTCAGCCTGGGGACGAGGTGGCGGCGGGCAGGAGGGGCTGCCCTTAGTGGCCCCCGGAAACGACAGGGCCGTTTTTGTTACTGGTTCCGTTAGCCGTTTTTTTGCCGGTTCCGACGCCGTTGTTTGACCGGTTCTGTCGCCGTTTTTGGACCGGTTCCGGCTCTGGTTCCGATATTCCTGGAGCCGTGTTGTTTGCCGTTTCTGGTGGCATCGCTCGGACGTGTGCACTTTCCTTTCGGCGAGGGCCATCGAGGAGCTTCCTTGATCATGTGGCGAAAAAAACGAGAAAAAAACACACACACAGGGAATGGACGTCCGAGGGATGGCCAGAGGGGCTGCCGTCGGGCGGACTCTCGGGGGGGGGGAGCGGCGCCCGTGGAGCAGCGACGGCGGCACGTGTCGGTTTCCCCCCGCTCCGCGGGCCGCCGCCCTGCAGAAGACCATCGAAGCAGAAGCGACTGCACGAGCACATGTCAGGAGGGAAAGAAACACACAGACACAATGAATCGTCGATTCCCCCGGAAAATATGGGGAAATATGGGAAGTGGGGGGGAAGACAGAAACCCAGAAAACATAGGAAAATATGGGGAATCCTTTTATTTGTGTGTATTTATTTGTGTGTCCTGGGGCCCCTTCAATATGAGCTGTTTGGAGCTCCGCGCGGGCGGCTCGGGCCGGCGTGGGGCCCTCCGGGCGGCGCCCTCCGGCGCCGCGCAAAAGGGCGCGGGCGCTCCGCCCGCCGACCTCCAGAGGGGCTCCGCGCGGGCCTCCGAGCGCGCTCACGCCAGAGGCTCCCGCCGCTCTGCCGGCCCCCGGGCCCCCGCTCGAGGGGAGGAGTGCTCGGGGGTGGACAGAACCCCCAACAGTGACACGTCGATTAGTGAATTGTCCGTTTTCGGTTCTCGAGAGGGCGCCGTGGCCGTTATTTTCCAGGCCTGCGCCCGCCAGGTTTGGGCCTCAGGTCGTTTTCACTAAACCACGTTTTACTAAAGGGAGGTCTGTCCATCCCCGAAGTGCACGTGTCGGCATCGTGTGTGACAGGCCCCCGTGCCCATCCCCATGCCCTTCGAGGCCCCCACCACATGAATCCCCCAGTGGGGGAGACGCCTCGAAGCCCGGAGGGAACGGCCTGTATATCCCCATCTGGGTCGGCATCGTTTGTGACCGGCCCCCGCCCCCGTCCCCGTCCCCTTCGAGGCCCCCACCAAATGACCCCCCCAGTTTGGGAGACGCCCCTCGAAGCCCGGAGGGAACGGCCTGTGTCCCCATCTGGGGGGGGGGGTCGGCCCGTGGGCCCCCGGCCACGCCGCTGGGGATGGGGATCGGTTGCACGGTGTTCAACGGTTGAGGCCCTCTATGGGGCCTCTTGGAGACCCCCTTCCGGGGACCTCTTCTGGGCCTCTCTGGTCTCCGAGAGGTTCTGTTCACGCATTTGTGCCGGCCTCCGCTGCCGTCGGACGTGATTCGCGGGTCGCCCCCCTGCAGAGTCAGGCAGGGCTCGATCTAAACGTTGTTTGTTGCGATCTCGTGGGCTCCTTTTCTTCTTCTACGCGTGGCGTCGCTCGGACGCGTGCATTCTTTCGGCGGGGGCCACTGCGGAGCACCTGATCTGGGACGAAAATCCTCCCCAGGAAAGGAGTGGGGCCGCGCACGGGGAAAAATCGTCAGAAGAGCTGCTTCGTGAAACCGCCGTCCCGCTTGCGCGCCGCCAGACTATGCCCAGTGGGCTGGTGTGGCCCCTCATGCCGGGGAACAAACGATGACACAAAGATGCAGATTCTGAGGTCCGCGCGGCTTTCTCGGATCGGCGCTGGACCCCCCTCCCTGGCACCGCGCGGAGCGCGCCAGGGGCGGCGCTGGAGGCCTCGCCAGGGGGCCCCAGCGCCGACCCGAGGAGTCCGCGCGGACCTCCGAGTTGTTATGTTCCTGTCATGCTTTGCTCCCCTATCCATGATGAACCAGACGACGTTCCACCTGCGGCCCGGGGAGGCCGTCCTGTACCGCGGCGCCGCCGTCCGGCACTCCCGCGAGCGACCGCTGCCACCAGACCATGCCTCCGCCCACGTGATCTTCGCGTTCCGCGAGCAGTGCGCCGAGTGCTGCCACCTCGTGTGACGGCGCCTCCTCGAAGAGGGGAAGAACGGCATAAGCGATCACGGTGGGGGCGGTCGTGCAGGAGCGTGCCCAGGAAGCTCCGGACCTTGGAGGATTCCTGATCTAACGAGGGTGGCGGTGGTGTCCCACGCTTGGAGTTCCACCAGCCTCCAGACCCCAGATTCCCTATCCAATGTTTTTTTTGTCCAGAGGCCATGTTTCGAGCGACCCCCGCCCGAGAACGCGAGGCGAAAGCCCCAGGGAGCACTGGGCCCCTTGGGCGTGGCGGCCCCCTGGCATGCAGTCGCCATTCGCCGAAGAAGAAGGAGGAGGAGAAGGAGAAGGAGAAAAAGAAGGAAGATGGAGAATGATAATACTAATAAGAATAAGAAGAAGAGTAAGGAAGAGTAAGAGCAGCATAAACATGTATAGGGTGCGTGGGTGAGGTCGGATTCCGTGGCCCTGATTATGATCGTTGTTGTTGTTGAACTCTCATTTCTGAAGGCTAATGATTGTTGATCCCCCCCGTCCGGTGCACATTGTTTTTTTGATTGAAGTGCCCTTCCCGGGGCTCGCACCCTGTTTTTTATCAAGGAAAGTCTTGAGGGTCAAACTGTGTTGTTGGCCCCCGGTTTACAACAACATCGGTTCCCGCCTGATACTTCCTCACAATGTATTGAAGAATCGCGCTTTCGCTTGGGACTTCCTTGCAATTTACCACTGGATCGCGGCTCCCGCTTGATACTTCCTCACGATTCATTGAAGAATCGCGCTCTCGCTTGGGACTTCCTCGCGACTTACCACCGAATCGCGGCTCCCGCTTGATACTTCTTCACAAATGATTCAGATGCCGCTCCTCGACACTTAGGAGTCGCGCTCCCGCTACATATTGCCTGGCGGTTCAAGCAGAATTTACGCTTCAACGACCCGCCCGCTCGACCCGCCCGTGTGGGCATGCCCGCCCGACCAGCCCGTTAGAGACTGCAGTCGCCGCTCGCTCCATTGTGCTATTCTTCAGTTCTTCGCATTCCGCCCACTCCTCCCCAGGCCAACCCATCCCACCCCAACTATCTCCACCCCTTCCCGCTCGCATTCCGCACGTATCCCAAATTATTCCCAATCCTTCCTCCAGATTCCGCTGTGCGCCCCCCGCTCCTCCGCACTCCTCCCGGTTCCTCTTCTCCACTCGTTGCCGCTCGTCCTTCTGAGACCCTACTCTTGTCCACTCCATCCCAATTCACTCCACATCCCCGCGCTCCTCTTGACACGGTCGCAGTTATCATTATCCTTTCGCCCCGTTCTCCCAATATCCAGCTTCTTTTCAGGGTTCCACGAAATTTGTTTCTGACACCAGTTCGCAGCTGTACGTCCCCCCGTCGGGGTATCCACGATATGTTCTTTCAAGGGGGTGGTACGTGGCGCTGTTTATGGCGTGACCCATGGCGAAGTTTGTTGTTAACTTGTGTTGGAGTGGTTGGCGCAAGCCATGGCGCAAGCTGAATCGATACTCGCAGCGCGAATCATCGTCCTCAGTCCTTGCCCCTCCCCTCCCTTCCTCCGATCCTTTCGTCCTCACTTATCCCCCGTCAGCTGTTATCCTTCACCAACCACATGTGGGAGGGAGTCAATATACACCAGAAAAAGGGGCACGATCGAAGACGTAGAGGGCGGGTATCCAGGGTTTGGGACATGCGTATTGCATGGCACGCGAGCAGACTAGAGCGAAATGTCTTAAAGTGATCGTTTGTGATTTGTCGTTGTTGGTGTTGTTGTTGTCGTTGTTGTTCTTGTTGTTGTTGTTGTTGTTGAACATTATTACTTCTAAAGAATAATTATTGTTGGGGCCCCTGGCGCATGGCCCCCTCGCCGCGCCTAGGCCGCAGCCTCATTTTCATAATTTTCGCGAGGAAGTCTCAGGCAAAACGATATGTACCAGATCCGGTTGTGTTGTTACGATCGGTTTTCCCTTGCAAAAAATAAGGCAAAGTGGACATGTCTTGTTCTAATATAACCAAACTTCAAGAATCCCTTGCAAAAAAAAGGTAAAGTGGACATTCGCGCGCGCAAGACGAAATCCTTCCAACACCTTAGTGTTCGTAGCGATTTTAACATAAAAACATCAAAAAACCAATGGTTTGTCAAAAAAAGTGTCAAAATTTCATCCCGCGCGCTCTTGCGGATTAGTAGGAAACCCAACACTTTTTAAACATTTCTGTCAAACGGGTTTTTGCGAGCAACTTTTTCGAACTTCTGCAACAACGGTTGCGCACCTGCCAGGGCCATCATCCCTGTCAAATAATACCATGCGGGACACATTCGTTTTTTCTTCGCGCGCGCACGCCGTCGTCGTCGGCCGCGGGGCCCTGAATAGTAGCCACGGTCGTCCGCATGCCACGAAGTGAAGTGTCCGAACGTCATAGGGCGGGAAGCTGGGTGTGGGTGGTGGCGAAGAGTCGTTTGGAAATTTGGTAGAGCTTGAACCGGCCCCCCCACAAAGTGGGGGTATTGCCCGCCTCCTATGAAAACCTTGGCACTGGTGAGAACGGTGTGTCCCCACGTGCTAGTAATTGTCGTTGTTGTTGTTGTTGTTGTTGTTGTTGTTGTTGTTGTTGTTGTTGTTTTGTCGTCGTTCTCCGCGACCCATTCCGCGACCCATTCCGCGACCCACCCGCGACCCACCCCGCGACCCACCCCGCGCCCGCCCCCATCCTTTTATCTTCATGCATCGTTGGCGTAGCGCTGCTACGCCAACGATGATTGCGCTGCGAGCGATGCCCTCCTTGGAGCGCGATGCAAGGTCCCCTTTGGGGAATCTTGCCCCATGTGCAGGCAAGACTTGCGTCAATATCCACTGCAGCTTGGAGTTCCGGGCTCCTTCCCTGGAAACCCGAGGCGCATTGGACATGAACAGACATTCGGCTCCATAGAGGTTCGGCTTCTATGCATATCCAGCGCGCCTCGGCCCTATGGCGCCCCTTATCCAAGAAAGTGCAAGATGCACTGGATATGGATTCGGGTGTGTGTCAGAGCTCATGGGGGGGCCACCGGTGAAAGGCAGCAAAGATTTGGCTTGCAGCGATCCCGCCGTGGCCTCGGGCACCATGCCCCAGCTTGCCAGGGCGAGCACCGCCCCAACCTGGAGGTGGGGCCGTACACCTTAGGCGATGCTTAAGAAAACCTAATTGTTTGGCCAGAGTCTTGATTATTTTTAATGTTTCAATGTAAATCCTAAGATTTGAGTGGAATTTTTGGGTTTTTACTCAAGTTCTGAGACTATGAATTTCTTAACCCATGATTTCTTAAGCATTTCGCAGGGTGTACTCCGGGGGGCCGCACCTGCGGGGCCCGGCTTCCGCAGCATGCAGCCGTCAGTCCGTCGACGGCGCGAGGCAGGAGTTGCACTTGGAGCGCCGGGGTCCTCCGGGCCGGGCGGCCTTGCCGGGCGGGGCGGGCAGGGAACGTCGTGAGTATGCCTTATGTAGACACGCTAACGGCGATGTAGGTTCTGGTTTCGTGGGAACGCGTGGCTCGCGCTGTCCTACACTTCGTTGTGTCGCTCCCGCTCGATGCGTTCGCATGCTGGGAAAGTGTGATCCGTGATTTCCTACAACTTCGTTCCTCCCAACGCCACCGTTAAGCAACATCGCCGTTAGCGCGGCTTTGGACCTTCTCTTGCCCTGGCATCGCTCGGACGTGCGACTCTTTTTCTCGGCGGGGGGCCTTCGCGAGGAGCAGCCTCGACCATCGCCCCACCCCAAACAAAAACACGCACGAGACCTCCCAAAAATGCACGCACGAAGCGAAGCCCCCAAAATAGCACGCGCGAACCCCTTCCCAAAAACACGCACGCACGACCCCAAAAAAATACACACGAAACTCCCTAAACCCAAAACAAAACACGTGCGAACCCCCCAAAAACATGCATGGATGGCGAGTTCTCGTGGCCGCGCGGAGTTCCTGCAACTGCGGTGGGCCCTCCTGGCGGCTCCTCTGTCGACGCCCATGGCGCACGCCGCGCGCTTGAGAGGGGGGTCAAAGTCTGAGCGGGCCTTCGAACCTTTATGTTCGCTTTCCTCTCCCCCCGCCCAGCTAGTGACGTGTGCTCTGGAGACCACAGTTGCTCAAGCCGTGTTTTCTTCCAGGGCAGTTCATCTCAGACCGCTGATGTTCCAGCCATGGTGGTGCAAGATTGCCGTGGATGCCGGACATCTGGCGGGGATTGCAACATGGTGGCTCTTCACTTGAGGCGGCCATAAACAGTTGCGGCAGGAGAGAGCAGTGGAGCGCCGCGCTGCAATTCTTCAGTGAAGCGTGTCGATTGCGTTCCTCAGACAGTCCATGCTATTACGTTGCGACTGCCAGCGCGTGTAGTAAAGCAAGGCAGTGGCAGCGGGGGCTGGCGCTGCTCAACGAGATATGGGAGTCGATGTTGGAGCCCACAGTCATCGGGTACAACGCTGGGATCAGCGCGTGCGAGAAGGGCAGGCAGTGGCACAGGGCTCTTGCACTACTCAGCGAGATGCGGCATGCGAAGTTGGAGCCCAACGTCATCGCTCTCACAGTGCAAGGGAGCCTGCGCGTGCGAGAACTAGCTGTGCCCCAATCTGCTCTTCTTGGCTCCCCTGCCCGCGATCGGAACCCTCAAAACGTTCTCGGAGTCGCGCTTCAGGCGTCCGCGACTTCGAGGTGGCCGGGAGAGGCTGCACGATGGCTGCGCCGCGGGCCACCACGACGTGAGAACATTCTGCGATGTGTCTTGCATGGTCTGCTCACGCTGTGCCGTCATCACGCGGTCCCACAGTTCGGCTACGGATCGCTCCGCAAGGGGCTGAGGCACATCCAAGCGGGCCCCAGGCCCACAACAGTTAGCCCGAGATGACCCCAGCGACCCCCACAACAGTTGTCCCGAGTCCAGTTAGGCTCGGGACCAGCTTGGAGGCCATCTCGGCCTCCAAGCTGGTCCCGAGATGGCCCCAAGACGGCCGCAAGACGGCCCAAGAGGGCCCCCAGACCGTCCGAGATGGCTCGAGACGACCCCCCAGACGGTCCAGGCGATCGCCAATCTGGTTTTCAGACAGTCCCATGTGGCGGCAAGACGGCAGGCCGCCAAAATCATAACATGTCCTTTCGGTGTTTGATGAATTTCCAGGTTCTCGCCATCTCGGGCTCAGAGAGGCCTCCCAACCAAAGGGCCCACGAGAGCCCCAAGAGGCCTAAGAGCCGTCCAACAGTGCCCGCAGGGAGGCCGAAGACGGCCCAAGAGCGCCAACACGGCCCCACGATGGGCCCAGAGGCCTCCAAGATGGCCAGACAGGGGCCTCAGAGGGCCCACGAGAGGTTCACAATGGCCAAAGAGAGAGTCCATAATGCACTGAGAGGCCCCCTGAAGGTTTTGATGAGGGTTTATTATTCAGACGCTCTCTGCTCCAAGGCTCCCAAGCGCGAGCGGAACGGTCCAAAGCTTTCACCAGGGACCCAACAAGGCCCCACCGAGCCCCACCAGGGTTCAACGCAGCCCCACGATATCCCGAAGCCAATCCCGCGAGCCTTCTCGGAGAGCCTCCGTGCTCGCCGTCCACGGGTTGGCCCTAGTCAGCTACAGCGCCGGGATCAGCGCCTGCGAGAAGGGCGTGCAGTGGCAGCGGGCTCTGGCGCTGCTCGGCGAGATGTGGGATGCCAGGCTGGAGACCAACGTCATCAGCTACAGCGCTGGGATCAGCGCGTGCGCTAAGGGCGAGCAGTGGCACAGGGCTCTGGCGCTGATCGGCGCTGTGCGGGAGGCGAGACTGGAGCACACCGTCGTTTCACGAGTCGGTCGATTCTAAGGCTGGGCGCAGCGCGTGCACGACAGGTGGGTGCCCGAGCGCCTCAAAACTGGCCCCGGCGCGCTCCCAGGCCACCCCAGGGGGGCGCTCCACAGCCGGCCGCAAAGGGCCCCAAGAGAGCTCCAGGACGTGCTGAGAGAGGCGCTCGGCCACCCGGGAGGCATCGAGGACGGTTCCAGAGATCTCCAGCATCCAGCCCAAGAGCGCCCCAAGGGGGCCCAAGAGGGCCCAGAGGCCAGCATTGTTTCAGACGCGGCGCTGGCGGACGCTGACGCTGGCGTAAGGATGGGCCTTGTCTCCCTCCCCCCCTGTCCTACCTCTCCGCCCAATTCCCCCTCTTCGCAATGGCACGAAACTTGTTCACTCGTCGCGCACGCCCCTCACATCAGGCACGCAGGTCGCATTGCTTTTGTTCCGAATCGTGCCTCGCCGAGAACAAAAGAAACACTAACCCCTAATAACACGATGAAGACGTGGTCTCACTTCGGTCCCCGTGTTCGCACTGGGGATCACACATCTGGGCGGTTTGGTCCGATACATTTGCAGCAAGGACTGACCCTCCTACTTTGGGTCCCCTCCCGAAGAAGTTTGGGGTACTTCTCTTGCTCGTCAGTGCCCCGCCTGTTCACAGGCCAGCCTTTTTGTTGGGTCTGACCAGGCCTCTGCTGCTGGCGGGCGCGCAGCGCGGTCGGAACCCCCGCTCGGGGACGCCAGAGACAGGCCCCAGAGACGCTCCCAGACGCCTCTACCTTCAAGAAGACCCCTGAGAAATCCCTCCTAACAGAAACAAGCGATTTTCACCTTGAGCGTTTCAAAAAGAGCCTCGCCTTCTGAGGATCGAAGGAGTTGCCATCTCTTCCTCGGCGGAAGGCGGCGGTAGGGCGGCGGAAGGCGGCAGAAGTATAACGAGGGCGCCTCCGCCGGCGAAAGGACGCGGAAGCCCGGCGGATGCCGGCGGAAGCAACAGTCTACCTTCCAAGTGATGATTGTTTGTTTGGGCTCAGGGTTTCTGGAACCCTTCACGTGGTTCTCGAGTGATGGGCGCATGCCGCGTCGGGCCTCAGGGCTCCCAGCGCGTGGAATTCGAAGCTCGAGCTCCCCGTCAGCATTGCAGTCGCTCAACATGCCCACCGGTTAGTGAGCGCAGCCCACCGGTCGGCCCCAGTCAGCTACAGCGCCGGGATCAGCGCGTGCGAGAAGGGCGAGCAGTGGCAGCGGGCTCTGGCGCTGCTCCGCGAGATGTGGGAGGCCAAGCTGGAGACCAACGTCATCTGACAATTCTGGTCGAGGAGGAGGAGGAGGAGGAGGAGGAGGAGGAGGAGGAGGAGGAGGAGGAGGAGGAGGCGGGGGGAGGAGGAGGAGGAGGAGGGAGGAGGAGGAGGAGGAGGAGGAGGAGGAGGAGGAGGAGGCGTGCGAGTCAGGCGCTGGTGATGAAACGCTCCAGAGCGCCCCCGAGCGCCCAGAGTGCCCAGAGCGTACCTGGGACGCTCCCTGACAGGCTCAGAGGGTCGCAGGATGGCCCCCGAGACGGCCCTTCCAGGAGGGTTGGAAAAGAACACCAGGATGTCGGCTTCCTGATTTCTGTCGTGGTTCAGGCAGTCCAGATAGGTTTCTAGGTCTGGGGTGGTGTTTTTGTTGAACTCTGGAAGGTCAGGGTAGATGGCCCCAGACAGCCCCAAGGCGCCTCCGAGACGCTCGGGAGGGGGCCAGGACGGCCGAGGTTCCACAGGCGGCCTGCGAAGGGCTCGAGGAGGGCCCCACGAAGCGCAAGGAAATCACAAACTGCACCAAGTTTCTCGCACTCTTCCCGTGACAGACAGAAACACAGAAAATATGGGAAACTATGGGGGATATTTTTATTTGTGTGTATTTATTTGTGTGTTCCAGTTCCCTTTCAATGAAACGCTCCAGAGCGCCCCCGAGCGCCCAGAGTGCCAAGAACGTACCTGGGACGCTCCCTGACAGGCTCAGAGGGTCGCAGGATGGCCCCGAGGCGGCCCTTCCAGGAATGAGCAGCGCGCGGAATGATGGCCCAAGTTCGGTCGCTGGAAGAAAAACCCTCGCGACATCGAGAGTGGGGCCGAGGCAGCTGCTGCGCGGGGAGCGCTCGAGTCGTTGCCAGACGAGCTGGTCGACGAAGGAGCAGGCAGGGGCCCCGGTTCACCGGGGGGAGATTCCAGGCCTGGGCCCGGAACGGCCCCAGACGGCTCTGGACCCGCGCAGGGTCGCACCAGGATGGCCCGGGAGGCCCTCGCGAGCCCGCCAAGGCGGGCTACGAGAGCCCCCTGACGGCCCAGCACGGGCCTCGGAGAGACTAGCGGTAAGTCGGGCGTGTCCCTCTACAGGAGGAAAATTCAAACATAGTAAACACATTGTCTGGGGACGATTTTTTGACTTTGTTTGACTATTTGGGTGTGTTTTGTTTTGACTGGAGCTCGTTATATACATTTGTATATACAATTATGTATACACACATATAGCTCTCTCTCTCTCTCGATGTGTACATATATATATATATATATATGTATATATATATATGTATATATTTATATCTGTATAGATTGACCGCTTGTAGGAGGACATGCCCGACCTAAGACTAACAGACCCTCAAATTGCCCACAAAGACGCCCCAGGAGCAGCCGAAGAGGCCTCGGACCAGGCCTCCCAGACGGCCCCAGACGTCCCCCATGGCCCCGAGATTGCCCCAAAGGCTCCCGGGAAGGCCCTAGAGGGCCCACGAGAGCCCCCAATGGCGGCCCCCCGATGGGAAAAGCATTCAAAGAAATTATGGGCTCAAATGTCTTCACCTTCTCCTCACGACGGGTCCAGAGCGGCCCCAGACAGCTCTAGGTTCTTCCATGGTCGCTCCGACATGGCCCAAGAGGCCTTCACGATCTCACCAAGACTGCCAGCGAGAGCCCCAAGACGGCTCAGAACAGGCCCCGGAGAGCCTCGTGGAGCTTCATCAGAAGCCCAAGGCGGGCCAGAAGCTGCCCAGGAGGGCCCAAACAAGGCCCCCAGACAGCCCCAGACCTCCACCATGGCCCCAAGATGGCCCAAGAGGGCACCCGGGACGGCCCCCGGGAGGCCCACGAGATTTTCGAAGATGGCCCCACGACGCCAGAAATCAAGCACAAGCCTGTGATTTCCAGGGTGTTCCACGCTCTCGTCATCCTGACGGGCCAGGAGCGGCCCCACGCGGCTTCAGGCACTTGCACGAACGCTCCAAGATGGGCCCAGAGGCCCCGACGAGCGCACCAAGACAGCCCAAGAGAGCCCCAGGCTGGCCCGAGTTTCGGCCCCCTCACGGCCTCATGGAGCTTCAGGTGGCCTCCCAAGACGCCCCAGGAGCTGCCCAAGAGGGCCCACATCTCCCACCCTGGCCCCAAGCTTGCCCGAGAGGCCCCTTGAACGGCCCGAGCGGGCCCACGAGGGCTCCGACGACGGCGAGGTCAAAAATCAAGCACCGACCTTGTATTTTAGAAAAGTGTTGCACACCCTGGACATCCCGCCGCTCTAATATTTTCCATGCGTGGGCCTAGGAGGTCTGGACCACCTTCCGCGGGGCCCGTTTTTCGTCTTGAATCATTTTTCCCAACCGTCTTGTGGTGTTCGGTCCTCGTTTTGAAGAGACGGTGCGGCGCGTCTCCTCCTTCTCCCCCTCCTTCCCCCCTCCTCCTCTCCTCCTCCTCCTCCTCCTCCTCCTCCTCCTCCTCCTCCTCCTCCTCCTCCTCCTCCTCCTCCCTCCCTCCCTCCCTCCCTCCCTCCCTCCCCTCCCTCCCTCCCTCCCTCCTCCCTCCTCCCTCCCTCCTCCTTCTCCTCCTCCTCCTCCTCCTACTCCTACTCCTACTCCACCTCCTCCCTCCGCCTTCTCCTCCTCCTCCTCCTACTCCTCCTGCTCCTCCTCCTCCCTCCTCCCCCTCCTCGCCTCTGCCCTCCGGATGTCTCTGTTCCGGCACACCCCTCACACGGTTCGCGGCCCCACAGGGAGCTCCACCGAAGGCTCCAGTGGCAGGGTTCGCATGGCACCACCACGCCTCATTTTGGCGACCCCTCACACGGTTCGTGGCCCCAAAGGGGGAGTTCCACCAAAGGCCCCAGTGGCAGGGGTCGCATTTCACCACCGCCCCATTCTGGCACACCCCTCACACGGTTCGTGGCCCCACAGGGAGCTCCACCGAAGGTCCCAGTGGCAGGGTTCGCATGGCGGCCCCGCCCCATTTTGGCGCACCCTTCACACGGTTCGTGGCCCACAGGGTCCTCCACCGAAGGCCTCAGTGGCAGGGGCTCGCATGGCACCACCGCCTCATCCTGGCGCACCCCTCACACGGTTCGTGGCCCCATAGGGGGAGCTCCACCGAAGGCCCCAGTGGCAGGGCGCATGGCACCGCCGTCCCCATTCTCGCGCCCCCCCCTCACGGTCCGTGGCCCCACAGGGAGCTCCACCGAAGGCCCCAGTGGCAGGGTTCGCATGGCACCGCCGCTTCGATTTCGGCGCACCCCTCACACGTTTCGTGGCCCCACAGGGAGTTCCACCGAAGGCCCCAGTTGGATGGTTCGTACCGCGCTTAGTGCCATGGGAGTTCAGAGTCTGGAAAGTCGTCATTCTCGCAAATTTTCGGAGCGTCGTTGCCAGCGGCTTTTGTTCCCAACCATCTTGTGGTGTTGGGTCCTCGTTTTGAAGAGACAGCCCCCGCGTCCTCCTTCCTTCCTTCCTTCCTTCTCCTCCCGCTGCCTCCCCTCCCCCTCCTCCTTCGTCCCTTGCGTTTCATCTGCCGAGTACAGCGTTTCGTGGCCCCATCAAGAGCTCCACCGAAGGCCCCAGTGGCAGAGTTCGAATGGCGGCCCTGCGCCATTGTGGCGCACCCCTCACACGGTTCGTGGCCCCATAGGGAGCTCCACCGAAGGCCCCAGTCGCAGGGCTCGCATGGCGGTCCCGCCCCATTTCGGCGCACCCCTCACACGGTTCGTGGCCCCATAGGGGGATCCACCGAAGGCCCCAGTGGCAGGGTTCGCATGGCACCGCCGCTTCGATTTCGGCGCACGCCTCACACGGTTCGTGGCCCCATAGGGAGTTCCACGGAAGGCCTCAGTGGCGGGGTTCGCATGGCACCACCGCCCCATCCTGGCGCACCCCTCGCACGGTTCGTGGCCCCACAGGGAGCTCCACCGAAGGCCCCAATGGCAGGGTTCGCATGGCGGCCCCGCGCCATTTTGGCGCACCCCTGCGGTTCTCACACTTGCACATAGTTGGGTCCGTCGCCAGGATCATTTTATCACTCTCGAGGCCCTGCGAGGGCCCCCGGAGGCCGACAACTGTCGAAGCCCCGCCGCTCCAAGTTTTGTTGGGAGCGTCGGATCTCTGGGAGTCTCCGAGGGACCAGCCCAGCACGGCCCCGCGCGGCCCCGACGAGCGCGCCGAAGGACGGCCCGCGAGGGCCCGACCCGTCCCAGGACCGGCCCCAGACGGCCGATAGGGGCTCCAGCGGGCCCCCCCGGCATGCACCCCGGGAGCTGCCCAAGAGGGCCCCGCGAGGGGGCCCTCAGAGTGGCCCCAGGGGCGCCAGGATTGCCCACAGGGGCCCCGGATGGCCCACGAGGGCCCCCCAGCACGTCTCGGGCCCCCTCCCGCCGACGAGGTGTGACAAGGGGGACCCACTTTTTCTGCCTCGACCTCCTCCTCCTCCTCCTCCTCCTCCTCCTCCTCCTCCTCCTCCTCCTCCTCCTCCTCCCCCTCCTCCTCCTTCTCCTCCTCCTCCTCCTCCTCCTCCTCCTCCATTCCTTCCCCTTATGAATAATTCCTCCCCGTCGCACCCGAGGCCAGTTTTTAGGGCGGGTCGGGCGTTTCGCTTGAGACTTCCTCACCACTTATGACCCTGAAGCTCAAACCCTGGCAACAGCTTCACTTATGGAGGGCGAGTGGTGTTCAACATGTGGCTCTCGCCTTAGCGCCGCGCACATTCTTAAACACACATCGGAAGAGCTTCACGAATTGAGGAGAACCCGTTTTCAAATTGTGCCTCTCGTTTTAGCGCCGCGCACATTCAGTGTAAACATTTGCAAGAGCTTCACGGACTGAGGACGGTTCCTTTTCAAATTGAGGATCTCGCATTAGCACCGCGCACATTCATTCATAAGATTTGCAAGAGTTTCACGGATTCCCATGATCAACGTACCAGCAATGGTGTTTGGAAGGATCCACGATCATGCAGGGACAACAGTTACGTTGATTCGCTGTGTTGAAGTCCCAAGATTGGCGTTCTGGCACGACTCAGGATCGCCAAGACGCAACTCTGAGGTGCACCCGTGGTGTTGGGATCCCGAGAGCAAGGTTTTGGCATGCTCGAGGATCTTCAAACGGTTATCTTCCAACGAGGCAGTTCCCTCAATGGAAAGAAACCGTTGTCGGGGCCTGTGAAGAGGGAGCTTGGAGAGAGGGTTGATTCCCACATCGTTCATGACTCTTTGGTCCTCCCCCTCCTCCGACTCCTCCTCCTCACACTCTCCTCATCTCCTCCTCCTCCTCTTCCTCCTCCTCCTCCTCCTCATCCTCCTCCTCTTCCTCGTCCTCCTCCTTCTCCCCCGCCTCCTCCTCCTCCTCCTCCCCCAGGAGCCTGCACCCCGTTCCTCTGGTACACCATGCCAGAGAATGCAGCGAGATTGGACTACGGCCTTCCTGCGACGATGCCAGAACCCTCTGGGGACGACTCCGAGACTCCCAAGGCACTCGCAAACAGCCTCCAGCCCCAGAGCCCAGACCCTGCAGCAAACCTGCGAGCGTGTCGGTCCCGAACGCGCAAGTGTCGCTTGCCGTCGACGGCGCGTGCGCGTTGGGGACCAACTCCTGGACCTGCCAGCCGTGGATTTTCCACGTGTTCACACCAGTTAGCTACAGCGCCGGGATCAGCGCGTGCGAGAAAGGCAGGCAGTGGCAGCGGGGTCTGGAGCTGCTCGGCGAGATGTGGGAGGCCAAGCTGGAGCCCAACGTCATATACACTACAGCACGTTGATGACCGCAAGATGTCGAAGAGTGCGAATCGACAGAGCAATGCTGCCCCGCAGCATGCACTGGAGAAGCGACTGGCCAGCGAGGAGGAGTGGGAGGAGGAGGAGGAGGAGGAGGAGGAGGAGGATTAGGACGAGGACGAGGACGAGGAAGAGGACGAGGACGAGGAGGAGGAGGAGGAGGAGGAGGAGGAGGAGGAGGAGGAGGAGGAGGAGGAGGCGGAGGAGAGGGAGGTGGACGAGAACGAGGATAAAAAGGGGGAAGAGGAGGAGGTGAGGTCGGAGGAGGTGAAGTCGGAGGAGGAGGTGGAGGTGGAGGCAGAGGTGGAGGAGGAGGTGGAGGAGGAGGAGGTGGTGGAGGAGGAGGAGGAGGAGGAGCAGGAGCAGGAGCAGGAGCAGGAGCAGGAGCAGGAGCAGGAGCAGGAGGAGGAGGAGGAGGAGGAGGACGAGGACTCAGATGCCTGGCGCAGCGCGTGCCCGAGGGCGGCAGCGACTCCTCCCGCCGGGCCCGCGGAGGCGGCGCCTCCGCGGCGCCCCCGTGACCTTGCAGAGCGTGAAGCAATCGGCAACGATCGCCTCCGTGCGCTGGCTGAGAGGGTTCGGGCGAAGGGGGCAGCTCACGACCCAGCAGTGTCGTGGATGAAGCTGACGCTCTGCCCCCCAAGGTCGTCGCGTCCTCCCCCTTTTCCTCCTCCTCCTCCTCCCCCTCCTCCTCCTCCTCCTCCTCCTCCTCTTCCTCCTCGTCCTCCTCCTCTTCCTCGTCTTCCTCCTCCTCCTCCGCAGCGCCCCCGGACATTCCACAGTGTCAAAAATAACACTCCAGACCTGTGGACAGATACATCACCAATGGCTGGTTGTTATTTCAATCCCGAGACTCGTTGAGAGTCGGGGACGACGTCGGGGTGGTGTGGTGTATACTTTTCCTCCGTTTTCCAGGGGAAACAACGAAACATGTATACACCAGGATCTCGTATACACCAGGATCCGCGTTCCCTTGCGAATGTCAGCGCAGGGTCGGAAAAAACGTCGGTGTATAGATTTCGTTTCCCTATATCTGGACTGCCTCAAACCTCGACAAGAATTAGGACGTCGACGTCCTGGTGCATGTTTCCCCCGCCTGGAAGGTCAGGGCCGCTCGTCGTGCGGCGACGGCGACCTGCCCCGGAGAGAGCCCCGGGAGCGCCCCTCCTCCGCGCAAGAGGGATCCCCGGCGGCCCGAGAATGCCCCCACCGGGTTCCACGAGGCTCCCGCCTCCGAGAGGGCCAGAAGGACGAAGCACGAATCTAGATTTGAGTCGGGCATGTCCCTCAACAGATCTAATATTCATATTTCTCCTTGAAGAAAAATGCGCGAATGTTTTTGTCGATGCGTTTTGGGAAATGTGTGGGGTCTGTATTTGTTTAGCATGACTGTTTTGCAAGTGTCGCCTAGAATCCGCCTGTAGAGGGACATGCCCGACCTAAATCTAGATTCGTTTAGGTTTGTTGTTTGCCGCATTTCCTCTTGGTATCGCCCCTCCGGCCACAAGACTCAGGAGAGGAAAAAACACACAGACACAATTAATCCTCGATTCCCCAGAAAATATAGGAAAATATGGGAATTGGGCGGGAAGACAAAAACCCAGAAAATATGGGAAAATATGGGGAATATTTTTATTTGTGTGTATTTATTTGTGTGTCCCAGTTCCCCTTCAAAGACGCCCAACCCGCCCCAGTTCGTGCGGAGCGCGCCCAGGGAGCTCCCAGGAGATGAGCCCCCCCCACGACGGACGGCCCCAGCGGCCGAACAGCCCCCCAAGGCCGCCCCAAGGGAGGCCCAACAGGATATATACATATATATATATACATATATATATACATATATATAATATTATATTATAGTATATTATATTATATTATATTATATTATATCATATCAGATTACATTATATTATATTATATTATATTATATTATATTATATGTGTATATCTTCCCGCCCCGCCCAAGAAGCCCTCCATGGCTCCCAGACGGCCTCCGGGACGCTTTCCAGCAGCTCCCTCGAAACGGCTTGGACGTGCTCACGAAGCTACCTCACAGACTCCCGGAAGGCCTCCAGCAGCTCCCTCGCCAACGGCCCCGACAGGCTCCCAGAAAGCACCAGATCATCAGACAAAAACCATACCCTTCACACCTCTTGGGACACTTCTCGCGCTGGAGGGGTTCCAGAAAATAGCTTCCCGATGCAGCAGCGGACACCTGGGATCGCTGTTTCTGCGTCCCCTTCATCGCCGATCGTGTTCCAAGAGGTTTCGAGCGCTATTTGTTCCCATCGTCTTGGGCCTGAAAAGCCCTCGGTATTCCCAATGTTTGTCCCGCACTTCCACTTACTATCACTTCTCTGGTCAGAAGATACCCAGCCCGCCTCGAGAAACCTCCCGCATCGTCTGGGGGCGCCCTGGGAGCTCCCACGAGGGCCTCTCTACGACGATCAAGATGGCTCTGGAGGGTCCCCCAACACGGCCGAACAGCCTTCAACGCGGCCCCAGGGGAGGCCCAACAGGGCCAAGCCAGGAGCACTCCACCCCACGGCCAGCAGGCGCCCAGAAGGCCTCCCGGAGGCTCGCCGACGGCCTCCGGGGGGGTCCCCAGCAGCTCCCTCGAAACGGCTCTGATATTCTCCTACAGCCCTCGTCAAAATTAACCTCAAAAATGTGTGACGTGGTTGAACTGCTTGTCGGAAGATCTGGGGCCGAGTATCGATGAGTGCGGGTTACTTGCATGCGCCGCCCCTCCAATGTCGGTCGACGTCAAACTTTCGAGTCAATTTCGGTCAGACTATCTTTGCCCTCGCCCCGACATTGAAGGGGCGGCGTGTCGACATTGAGGGGCGCGCCGAAATCGAAATGACGTGCCAGCAACTTTTGAGGTTAATTTTGACGAGGGTAGTAGAAGGCCCCAGGTGATTGGCACGAGCCGCGCTCCACGGGCTCCCAGAGGGCCTCGAAGCAGCTCCTCGGTTGGGCTCCCAAAGAGCACCAGATGAGGGGACAAAAACTACACCCCCCCACCTGATGGGACACTCCTCGCGCTGGAGGAGGGGGCAGGAGATAGCTCACCGAGGCAGCCGCGGACACCTGGGATCGATGTTTATGCGACTGCTCACGCGCCGAGGGTGTCCCCTAGAGGTGCGGGTTCGGCGTCTTATCATCATCCTGGGCCTTCTCCAGCAGCAGCAGCAGGAGGACGAGAGGCGGCGGAGGACGACGGCGACGGGGAGGAGAAGGAGGAGGAGGCGGCTGAGGAGGAGGCGAAGGACGAGGACGAGCCAAGCAGGTGCTGGAAGAGGATTTGGGAGGAGGAGAAGGAGGAGGAGGAGGAGGTGGAGTTGTTGCTACTGCCCATTCCCCTGGATCTGCTGCTGCTGATACTGCTGGCACTGCTCTGGACGCCGTAAGGATCATCCAGCAAACAGCGTACACTGAAGCAAAGTGCAGCAGCAAGCGCACTCTCACCACTGTCACTCGGGGACTGTAGTCGACGGGCTAGCATCTAACCCCAGGCCCCAGATTTTCAAGCAGATCCCCCTCCAACATGATTATCCCCGTCCAAGACAGCTTTTGTCAGCGGCGGGGAGCGGCGGGGCCGAAATGCATCATCGCCAGAGGAAGTATGCATCCTACATCGAATATTAGGATCATCCTCATCATCGGCGCCATCATCACCACCATCAGCGTCATCATTAGCATCAGGATCATCATCAGCATCATCATCGTCATCATCATCACCTTCATCATCATCATCATCATCAGCATCAGCAGCAGCAGCAGCAGCAGCATAATCAGCATCATCGTCATCATCAGCATAAGCATCATCATCATCATCATCACCACCACCATCATCATCATCATCATCATCATCATCAGCAGCAGCATCATCATACTCATCGGCATCAGCATCAGCATCATGGTTACAATTATCATCGTCATTCGCCGAGTTCGCGAGGTGAGGACGTTCCAGGCGAATCCCACATCTATCATTGTTGTCAGGATCTCTCAAGCGAAACGATCAAATCTTCGAGCTTCCCCTCACCTACTTCCGTTCACGCAGAAAGTTTTCGAAAATTCGCTGAGTTCGCGAAGCCATGGATTTTTGCTTCTCCCACCCCTCCAGGGAGGCCCCGCCTGAGCGAGCACGTTAGCTCCCACACAGCCCAAGAGAGCCCCAAGACGGGCCAAGAGGCCCCCAAAAGGGCCCCAGGAGGGCCCCACGAGAGGGAACTCAAGGGAACATTTAGCGCCCTCCGATCCAGGATGATCCTCGAAACCGCCAGCTGGCCCGCACGAGGCCCCCCAGACGCACCAGAAGGCCCCCCCAGAGGCCCCAAAAATACCCCAAACGCACCAGAAGGCCCCCCCAGAGGCCCCAAAAATGTCCCAAGAGACCCTCAAGAGGCAGCAAGACACTCCCAAAACTGCCTCCAAGAGGCTCTCGAGGGAAGGTCTCTTGGAGAGCTCTGGGACAACGCTGGCCACCCAGGAAAATCATCCGCCCATGCGCCTCTTATGTTCTCTCCTCCTCTGCACGAGGCTCCGGTCGGAATGAGCGACTCGTCCGGGAACATCTTTCCGGGAGTGTTCCAGACAGGCTGGCCATTGGGGGCATGCTCCGCAGTGCCTTCGATCTTCTCCCCAGCTCACGCAGCCTGCGCGCACTCTCCGACCTCATCGGGCGTTCACAGCCAACTGTTGCTTCCTAATCTCCAGCCCTGGCCCTGATGCAGCCTCAAAGTGGCTCAATCTCATTCTGGGGCGGCCCAAAACGCCCCCATAACCCGAAGGCAGCAGCACGAATTACGAAGCAGGCAACAATAGCGTCAATAGCACGCACCAAGCAGACGTGGCTAACTATCAGCACCACCTTTCAGCCACAATCAACATCGACACGCAGCAGCGGCAAGCATTACCAACAACATGCAACACCGGCAGCCAGCAACACCACGCAGAGACATGCGCCGAATGCGAGGGTAGAGCCCCCAGTTGTAATGACACCCCCAGCGACCCCCACACGCTTCACCCCGCAAAAGGACGTAGTCCACGGGTCAGCCCTAGTTAGCTTCAACGGTGGAATCAGCGCATGCGAGAAGGGCGAGCAGTGGCAGTGGGCTCTGGAGCTGCTCGGCGAGATGCGGGAGGTCAAGCTGGAGCTCAACGTCATCAGCTACAACGCTGGGATCAGCGCGTGCGCTAAGGGCCATCAGTGGCAGCGGGCTCTGGCGCTGCTCAGCGAGATGTGGGAGGCGGCATTGGAGCCCAACGTCGTAAGCTTCAGCGCTGGGATCAGCGCGTGCGAGAAGGGCGAGCAGTGGCAACGGGCCCTGGCGCTGCTAAGTGAGATGTGGGAGGCGAAGTTGGAGCGCGGCGCTTTCTATACTACCGTCGAGCATCTGATGAAGAAACCTCCTCCCGGCAAGCTGGGCCAGCGTTTCTTCACCAACTTGCCGCAAAGTTGGCCCAGTTCTTTAAGCATGTTCGCCCCTCCAGCGTTAACATCAATAAGTGGCCCAGGTTTCACCTAAGAAACGTCCAGGAAGCTGTCCCAGATTTCTTAGATGATTATTTTCTTGATCGTAGACTTGGCTGTGCAATCTTTCCAAGGCATTACGGCCGGTGCCGCCGATCCTAAGGGAGGCGACGACGACGATGACGACGGCGGCGACGACGACGACGCTTACTACGGTATTCGGCATTTTGCGTAGCGTTCATTTGCTTCCTTGAGGCCGGTGTGTCTGGCGACTCCGATCGAGGGGCGACGCTTGTTTCAAGAATCGGCGGCGAGCCAGGGGGGGGTAACTGAGAAGGAGAAGGCCTTCCCAGAATGCTCGGAAGTCCCCTGGCCTTCTGATGAGTTTCCTAAGGCTTCCCGAAGACACACCATACTTCTTAGAATGCGCGAGGGCTTCTGAGAAGTCCCGCCGCCTTCAGATAAAGCCTTCTCCTTCTCACTTCCCCCTCGCTCACCGCCGAAAGAGAGCCCCAAGGATAGCCAAAAGGGCCCCGAGAGAGCCAACAGTAGACTCGTAGACTCCAGATGGCCCTTAAACGCCCGAAGAAGGCCCCCAGAGGCGGCCCAAGAAGTCCAAACATGCCCCGAGGACGCGTCGAGATCACCCTGAGAGTGTTGCGAGGATGGGAATTTGCAGGTTGTCTGACGCTGCCGACGACGACGACGATGACGATGACGATGACGATGACGATCATCGTCATCGTCATCATCAGCATCATCATCAGCATCGTCGTCAGCATCATCATTTTCAGCCGCATCATCATCGTCGTCATCGTCATCGTCGTTGTCGTCGGCATCGTCATCGTCATCGTCGCTTTTTGTGGAAACACTGTTTCGCATACTCGCGCTTCCGGACCCACAGCGTCCAACCCACGGGGCGTCCGAGATCGGCCCAGGGCAGCTCGGGCGGCCTCCTGAAGATAGCCTCTGAGGCTGCCCAGGACCCCCGCAAGACGGATCCATAGAAAATTGTCCAGGAGGCCCCCAAATCGGCGTCAAGAGTGGCCCAGACAGGGATCCCGAGCCCGTCTTTGGAACGACCCCCCCCGATCCGGCCCCAAGACGCCCCGAAGAGGTTCCTAAATGCCTCCAAGACAGCTCTGGAGACCTCCAAAATGCCCTAGAGCTTCCACGACCGCTGTAAGAGGGGGCCAAAAGCAGCATCCCGAACTGCAGCCACAGCACACAGTTGCCGCAAGCATTAGCAACAGCACGCAACAGAGGCAGCAAGCAGCAGCACGCAGTGGCATGCTCGGAGTGCGACTTTCGAGCCCAGCACTACCATGTCAGCCTCTCGGCAGCACGTCCACCATCACGTGCCGGTTCTTACAGCCTTCGCGGGCAGACGGGTCAGCCGCAGTTCCTCCCACAATGCGTCGCTGAGTGCGCGCGAAGAGGCACTCCAGCGGCACTGCCTGGGCCCTCGGGGCCGCCATGCGTCGCCTCCTGAGCGGCTCCGGACGGCCCACGACGACTTCCCCGAGGCGGCCCGAGCGCACGCCGGGTCTGCGCAAGGTGGCTCCAAGAGGGCCGCACGACGCCCGCAGGTGTAGGAGGCCACCTGCGAGCCCCACGGTCAACCCGCATAGTAAGGATAGCAATTTTCCCAAGGGTACCCTTGCGTCCTTGCCTCCTCGGTTCATTCTTCGCCGCTTTCGCTGGCCGCGACCTGTTCGAAAAGCTTCGAAATGGGCGTCCAAGGCCCTTGCATCCTTATCGCGCATCCTTACTATACTGGTTGACTGTAACCCACCCACCCCCTACATGGCCCCAGGACTGCCCAAGAGGCCCACGTGACGGCCCAACAAAGCCCCGAAGTGTGGTGCCAATAGGGCCCCTAGAGGCTTCGGAGAGACCCCCCCGAGGGCTCGAAGAGGGGCCGACGGGGACCCAGACGACGCCCTTCTGGCAGCCCCCAATGGGCCAAGAACCTTTCAAGGACCACTCCCACATGCCCCAAAGTCTCCGAAGAGACTCCGATGGTTCCCTCCCGAGGAGAGTACCTCGAGCCACGTCACCATGCCGCAGTCTGTCGAACCCCGAACCCCCCAAGAAAGCCCCAGACCTCAACGGCAGGTGCCCCAGAGACGTCCAAGAGATTCCGATAGTCCCCTCAGGGCTCCCAAGAGCGGTCCTGGGGCCACTCCGAGATGCCCCAGAGTCGCCCACAACCATGGTTCCCGCGGAGCTCCCATGAGCGATCCCAGGACCACTTCGAGATGGCCCAGAGTCGCCCTCGAGACCTCCCCCCTACGGCCGACTAGTGTGGCAGGGGGGACGCTCTGTTCCTCCTTCTCTCATCGAGGCTCGGTGGCCCCCCCCCTAAGAGGTGACAGGGGTGGGTACCTGCAGACCGTGCGGGGATCAGCATCTCGCTCCCCCCCTACGGCCGAGTAGAGCCCTCGGCGGCCCCCAAGACAAACCACTAGATCCCTCCCTGGACCACTCCGAGATGGCGCGGACCTCCCCAGGACATTCGAAGATAGCCTCCAGCCCCGGCTCCCAGAGCCTGCAGCAAACCTTGCAGCTAACCTCAGGGGTGACAGGGGGGACCCTCTGACAGCAGCCTCACAGCACGCACGCATCATAGGTTTCCCGGGCTGTCCCCCAGAAGAGGCTCTGGGGGGCAGCCTGCACGGTTTCCCCCGGGTCCGTAGGCGACCCGAGGAGGAGGAGGAGGAGGAGGAGGAGGAGGAGGAGGAGGAGGAGGAGGGAAAGGAAAAGGAGGAGGAGGGGGAGGAGGAGGAGGAGGAGGAGGAGAAGGAGGAGGAGGAGGAGGAGGAGGTAGAGGAGGAGGAGGAGGAGGAGGAGGAGGAGGAGGAGGGAGCAGAGGAGGAGGAGGAGGAGCAGGAGGGAGGAGGAGGAGGAGGAGGAGGAGGAGGAGGAAGAGGAGGAGGAAGAGGAAGAGGAAAAGGAAGAGGAGGAGGAGGAGGAGGAGGAGGAGGAGGAGAAGGAGGAGGAGGAGGACGGGTCGCCAAAGCCCCTCGGAGAAACCCTCCAGGACAGACTGGGATGCCCCAGGGACGCCCAAACATTGCAAGAGGCCTTCAAGGCTCCCCAGACAGGCTCGCAGGAGCAACATGCCCCTGACACGGCCCCAGGGACGCCCGCGCAGTTCAACTTCGACGATATGTACACCCACGGCGCGCGAGTCCCAGGTTCGGCACACCGTGGATTTAATCCACGCGTTCGCACTGGTCAGCTACAGCGCTGGGATCAGCGCGTGCGAGAAGTGCGAGCAGTGGCAGTGGGCTTTGGCGCTGCTGGGCGAGATGTGCAACTCTAAGTTGGAGCTCACCGTCGTCATTCCTTCAATTCGGGGGCGTGCGTGCGGCAAGGGTCTCTGGGCCCAGTGTCTTCTCCCCTCCCAAGGCTGCCCTGAGCTGCTTAGGCTTTGCCTGCAGGCCGTCTGCGGCATTGGGGCGACCCAGAACGTCCCCAACCAAGCCCAACCAGCCTTCGACAGGGCCTGGGA